ACTTCCACAACAGCATCAAGCCCAACTTGTTTGACCTGGTTCCTTGTCTTTTGTTGCTTATGTAGGTCCAGTGGTCAGTGAGGGCAAGGACAAGTGTGGAGGCATGAGCTTGTGGGTGGAGCTCACCAGGATTTCCATATTTAATACTTGAAGTCAAATTAAAACCGGTGTACTTAACAATGTCTCTCCAACAGTTTGTGTGCTGTTTCTCTGTGATCGTCGCTCTCTTGTGCAAAGGTGAGAAATTGATTTTATTTGCAGTACTACACTATTTTCTTATGGGCTATAGCTTATAAGAAGAGCGGAAAGATTAATACAGAGATACAAAACATTAAACATTAGTCACATTTTTTTCTGCCAGGTTACTATTAAAGGGCTCACTTGGCATATTCCCTGTAAATTGCTGTAGGACAGGAAAGTCACATTGTGTTATTTTACATAGATATTTCCAATTTATTCATCAATAAACTGGCAACTATGTGTTTAGCACGTGTTCAGCAGAGCTAAATTCAGTAACCTAATAAAAACCAATGTTTATAAGGGAAGAGACGATACTGGCACAGGTGCAAATGAAAAAATCTTTGATTTATTTGCTGTTGAATAAATAAATAAAAGTGAATTGTTAGCAGACAATGATATTAGAAATTGAATTTTTAAAATACATGGGCAATATCATAAGATGTAATATAACATAATATAGTATAAGATAATAAATTTAATTTGCTATTGGAAAAAATACTTTTAAATTTCCTGGAAGGACAGTTTTAGTTTAGTTATGTTTTAAATCACTCACTTTTCCTAAAATTCTGTGAGCAGGTTCAATTTCAGTTTTTACATATTTGTTTCCCCTCTCTCTGATCCATGCTGACAAAAGTAAATCGTGATGTGCAATACACTGTTTTAACTAGTTATCGCTGTTTCAATTTTCAGATGCTCATTCACAGCAGCCCGGTAAGCATCCAAGAACAATTTTACACATTCTGCAAGCTTCAGGTTTCAAAATGATTATTTCCTCCTCTATAATAGACGATAGACGATACTCCTACCATTTGTTTCAGCAACAAAGGAGTGCTCTGAGTCTTTTTCATTTGACATTAATCCTACAGTCCACACCCTTGAATACACTTTTTGTTAAGTTAAATATTAAATGCCAAAGTTATGAAACTATGAACAATGACTAAACATATTGGTTTTACGGCAAGGACAGGGTACAATGGCAACATATTTTGGGGGGAGGTTTGAAAGTTGACTTACAGTCAGTGGAGTTTGTTGTATAATCAGCATGTTTTAAGAATCTTTGCATCTTTCTTAGTAAAGGCCCTTGCAGGCAGACACAATCAAAAACAACATGGCAGATAAATTGCCAAACATTACACCTAAAACAATAAGGAATGCTCTTTGCTTTACCAGTAAGTGGTTTTTATTGTGGCTTATCAGCGTACTCACCATTTAACTTGCATCCATTTTTATTTATCAGCATGCGGCATGGCTGCAAAAAATAGCAGAATTGTAGGAGGTCAAGATGCACCCCCAGGAAGTTGGCCCTGGCAAGTAGCTTTATCCATTTTTGGCAGTTTAACCTGTGGAGGGTCCCTCATCACCGACCAGTGGGTGTTGACGGCCGCTCACTGCAGTTTATTGTAAGTCACCATTGTAAGTTTCCATTTTTAGTAATAATAATGTTTCTGCATGGTGTTGCAGGAGTTAGCACTGTTTCCTGACTTCAGAAAGTTCTGGGGGG